GAACTAGGCAACACTGTGTAGAGTTGCACTATTGAGTTGACGTCGCTCTATTAGTTAATGATTTATAAGTCATAGCATTTAACTAAGTTAATTAACCAAGAGGAACTGCTCAAAATGTGTGCCCAGACTACTGAAAATAGAGCACGATAACGTGATTACACGGACAAAAATATGTTTGGAGTTAAACGAGCAGGAGGAGGTTCAGGTGTATCACTCATCTGCCCCAAAAAGGCAATGTTTATCAGACCTTCAAAAACATTGTTGCCATCCTTCTGATCCAGTATTTTGCAAATATTTCAGTTTTCGATAAGAATTATTATTTTTTGCTATTTTTCCTGTACTCCCAAAACACCCCCATACAACACCCCCCGAGAGATAACACCAATTTCCACAATAATTTTCATAATCACTGTACATATTAAGCATATTGTTTCTGCAAGTATACGAATAGAACATTAAAATATGACCTTGCAGAACGAGAACAGTTGGGAATTTCAATATTTATTATATAACTTTTTAGTCGTTATTGATCAGTTGACATTATATCATATTTTGTTTTAACCACACCAACTATAGCAATAGTATTTTAAAAAAAGTTGATTGACTAATTTCGTATTTATTTGATATTGCATTGGTAAATTAGATTTCTCGCAATAATATAATAATAGACTCAAAAAATAAATTGATGAAATATTTCATTTTTGTAATTATTCTCTTTAAGAAAGCAACTAATTATAAACACATCTTTTAAAATGAAAAAATGTCTCCTTTCTTATGAGAGTGTAGTGGTTTGAGTGTGCTTCAGGACATTTTCTGTTTTAGTTACCTAACATGCTCTAAAATCCATAATTGATAAATTAAATTATCCTAAGATTTGAGCAGTTATACTGTTATAAAATGATGTTTCTGTACAAAATGTAGCACTAGAAAGTGTCTAAGTTTTATCGAAAGCATGCAACTAAGCTAAAGCTTCTTTATTCTACACTCAACTAGTGACCCTTTGAACGCAGGAAGGTAAGCAGATGGAACTGTATCCAGATCTCCGCACCTTTAGCTCACACAAAAAAACCAAATAGTTTGCAAATAATGCAAAGTTCGATTTCACATTTATCGGTTACGCCACCGGTGACATTTTGTTCATCAAAATAATTATGTAAAATGAATATACATACGCATAAAAATTTACTTCTTGATTCATCTGCCTGGTGTGTGTGTCGTCCTTGGATATTAGTACACGACTTTCTCGGTTCAATTTCATTTCATTTCATATGTAAATATAACTGTATATCTAAATTATACTTACATTTTATTTTGATGAATTAAATTAGAATATAAATTAAAGCTTCTTCGTATTTTCTGCCAATTAAAAATATAAATCTGCCAAAAAAAATCATTCCAAAATACAATTGGAAGTTCTGATGTTGAGAGATTCTGTGTCGTTTGAGATGTTAAGTTATATATCCATAAAATGTAACGTTTTTTTATTATTTACAAGTAATAACTTTACGCGATTTGTTATTTGAATAAAAATGTTAAATAGAAGCATTTGATTTTTTAAATATCTGGAGAATAGTACGATGGAATTTCTGGGATGAAACTCGATGCCAATTTATTCTTATGTAAGTCTCATTTTGATGAAGCAACCGAGTTTATGCGCTTTAGGGAAGTAGTGAATTCTTGAGAATTTTGGTATAAAAAATTCGGGATGCAGCTAACAATTTTTTTTGGGTCGATGTTGGTCCTTTTTGGAGATTTTTGTGCTTTTGCAGGAACAAAATTGTGGCATTCATAGTTTTTGCGCCAAAAAAAAAAATTTTAATTATCTATTTGGAATTTTTTTGAGGATAATTTTTTGCATTAACAAACTTAAATTAAGTTTTTTGTTATATCACGAAATACATGTCGATTTCTTCCTACGTAAAGGCCATATTTTGATTAAGCTACCGCCCGCAACCAAAATCATGGCCTATTTTCACTTTCAAAGAAAAATGCTTTCAAATGAAGATCGGCCTAATATTTTGACCATCTCGGTCACCTCGTAATTAGAAAACGCTTGTCAATTAATTAATTATACAAGAATAAATTCGCTTGAGACATTTGCAGTTAATGTCCGAAATTGTTTTTATCGCAAAAACTGTAAATGCTTCAAAATTTTACAAAGAGCACCAAAATGTAAAAAATGCATAGTGCATCAACCCAAAAAAGAGCTGATTCTAGTTACCAAATAAAAGTTCGGGTAGTTTTTGTACCAAGACACTCAGACACACTCCCACAGTATATGAACTCGGTTGCTCCATAAACATGTGCTTTACATTTTAAAAAATTCGCAGCCAATTTTCTTCCAAATCATTATATCATATCTTTCTTTCAATATTTTAAAAAGCCTAATTTTTCTGTGGTTTCTGACTAACTTTGATCATCAATAGCAGAGGAACCAGAAATTTTTTCGTGATAAAAAAACATAAACCCGCAATGACCGGTAGGTATACCACCTAAGAGATGGTATTAGTGATGAGGAAAGCAAGACCAAGACCAAGACTTGCATGGTCTTAGTCTTGGTCTTGTTCTTGTATGCATAGTCTTGCTCTTGGTCTTGCAAATCAACGACAGTCTTCGTCTTGGTCTTGGTCTTGCCTTTATATACCCCGTAAAATAAAACGAAATTAATTTAATAATAAGAATAATAATTAAATTTTAAAAAAATTCAATACGAAACAATAAAAAAAATCTGACTATTTGCTATTTTAATAAGTTTCATTATTTTGCAATTCGAAAGTGTTGACCCGTACTTTTTCATTGTCTATTAAGATTAAGATCCAGAAGATCTTCATCCAGAGAAATCAAATATATTTTCATGTAGTGTAATTTACATATTCTAACAAAAGTACGACAACAATGAAATATGTAAGTACAGAAAGTAAGATTTAATATTGAGAGATTGATGACATATGAGAGAGAAAAAATTATTTTCTAGTTGGCAACTACTACCGGTACTCACTGGAATCTTTATTTCCTCTTCTCGTGAACGGCACATCTGAAGATCATCATATATTTATTTCACTTTAACGTGGTAGTTCACTGTGTTCAAATATATGAATTTTTCATTTATTACAGGCTTAAATAAGTTCTGATTTTAGAAGAAAATAAAATGAACCAAAGAATATTTCCCGCAAAGGTAGAAAATGATTTGGGAATTTTCATTTTTGGGAGAATTGAGAAGCAAGTTTAAGAAAAAGTAGATTTGAGAGTAACTTTGAAAGAGCAGTAATCAACATCACCAGAGTTGTCTTAACTCTGTCCACATGCCTGTTTTATGTTGAGTGTTGATTAATGTAAATTACTCAAAAATATTTGTGTCGGATCTCAATTTCTTTGGGTTGTAAATAAGGCTACATTTCGTTCGGAAGAATTATTATTTTCCACTTGCAGTGATTGCCACAGCGACTGTTAATTAATTTTCGATTTACCGAAAAGATAACTCAATGATTAGCGGTTATTGTTTCCGTATTCAATATGATTTTCCGGCAAATACACTTTTGTTAATTGCATGCGGCTTAATTCATTTTAGTTGGAGGAACACACCTTAAATCCTGAAACTCAACTTGTGGTAAGGAACTATTCGAAATTGGATTTTCGAACGGTATTTCTGCAACCCAACTTTAAAGGCAAAATATACGTTTATCTATAGGAAATCCATATTTATCCAATTATTGAAATTACAGGCAACGATGACAGTTTAACAGGAGAGAATAGTTGCAAGAAATTTGGGTAGATAAGAATTTTGGACAACATTTTTACAAGCACTTTCAGAATCGTGAGGGTGCCTGTGGATCCATCCAAATGACCACACAGATTGTCTGATTGTCTGGCGCCCCTTGAGTTTTTTTTGTTGGATTTCTTAAGTCCGAAATGTACCACTTAGTTGCAGTTTTAAGAAGACCGTTTTAAATACATATAACAAATCTGCATATAACGTTGAAATACCTCCTTCCCGAAACCTTATATTGATAGGAGCACTTTTTTCTAAACATATGTATACATTCACCTAAAAATGTCTACAATGTGTAAAATATTTCATATTTAAAGCAAGTTCTATCTGCAAAAATGTCCTTTTGTGCTCATAAAACGAATGTAACCAAATGCTTTAAGTTACATACAATTTAATCATATTTATTATGAGTAAGTGGTGTGAAAAATACAATTAATAGTTGTGACTGCTTTGAGCTTCCACATACCAAATTAAGTTTACTATTAACAATTTGCACCTGTATTAATTACTCACTCAAAATTTTAGTAACATTTCGGTTTGTAGTTCCATTCATGTTTTTCTATTGATCGGGAAATTGTTAATGCTTTTTTCAAACATCTTTTAGCAAACTTTTCTAGTAATTATCTTCCAGAGAAAATGATGTCGCTGTAAAACTCTTTTTGTTGTAATACTTACACTTACATCATCTGTAAGTAAGTATGTGCCTATTTTTTACTTTAAATTAAAATATTGAAATGTTAGTTTTTTTTATAAAATATCTTTCTATACTTTCTTATTTCCTTATTTATTTTAATATCAACTCCTAAGTGTAGTATTCCTTCATTGAATTTTTAGTAGTGAGTAACGAGATGTTTAAAAATTTATGAAAAATGAAGCTAATCAAAATCTCCAATTGTTTTCATATTTAATCTATTTCTGTGAGGCTGTGTCTGATACCCGACCGAGTACAGGTAATAAAACACGCATTTTATATGCAAATGGAGTAAATATATTTTTTTAATTATCCAACTCTGTATTGTGAACTGTTAAAATGATGAAAAATATTAACACGTTTCTAGGAGGCCAAACCAGTTTCGAGTTATGCACTTGTCAGAGAAAGAAAGGAAAAGTGAAATGAACATATTTACATCTGGCTATATTTAAACCTTGAGCAATTATTTTCTTCGTATTTGGCGATTTTTTTCTCAACTAAATGAAACTAAAGTTTAAGTATACTATTGTAAATGCTTACATGAATTTCGTCCTCATCTCCAAATATGAAAAAGAATACAAAAAGTTCTGCGCTCCGTTTACACTCACCAACGTCGTTTCACTAGATTCTTTGCCGAAGTTAAGCTTACATTTATAAACTATGTTCTTTGATTTTCCCTTCACTTTACAGCGGACCGGTGTAAGTCTTGGGCAACAAACCAGTAGTACCAAACACTGTGATTTTAATGAACGGCTGCAATAGCGTTAACAAAATATATATTTTTTTGGGACCGATGGAACAATACATTTTGCACCAGGCACGACATCTTTATGTGACTTTTTGCATTCCTTGGGTTGTTTGCCCACTAATAGTCACTTCTTTATTTAAATTTAAATGTTAATTTCCTTTTGACCCTATTTTTTGGGAAAACTACCCAACAAAAGGTGAGTATAGTTAAACCATCGAGTATTCCACTCCACATTCGAGTGACTTGATTATCCAAGACTCATTTAAACTTGACAAAACTGTTGACCAAGAAACTTGAAATTGGGAGAAGAAAAATCCAAGAAATCCAGATTGTAACATGAAAACCAAAGCATTACCAATCGGTATACATATATATGTATGTGCTTATATGTGTTCTCAGGAGTATACTCTGAAGTTGTGTGGGCAAGTCTTAACATATCGAGTTGAGCAAGAACTTGAACTTTAGGAGCCCCAGATTTGAAAAGTTCAGAATAATGTGTGAGCAACCCTTTATTCTTATCAACTGAAAGAAGCGAAAAATTATATTAAAGTGAACATGTCGAAACATAAGCAATTATTCTAAAAGCTCTCATAGAAGCTTTACCAAACGATCATACAAGATGTGAAGCAAAACAATTCGGCGAATTTCTCTTTAGATTTGGACCATAATAATCACGAGACCCAATAGAAAGTATGGGGAAGATTAAGTAGCAAGAAAAGACCAGTTAATAAATTGTACAAATATTTCCCATCGTATTTTATCAATGGGAAAAGCATTTTAGAAATATCTATGAAGCACAAGAAATATATTCAATTAGCTTCCAATAAAGTGTGACTTACTTTCAGCAAATCTTTTTATTTTTGAGTCGCCTTTTTTTCTTCTGGGCTCCTCGTCAGCTCGTTTTTGGGGTTTTTTCTGCTTTTTCGAAGATCGATTCTGCAAATTTTTGGAGAAATTGTCGTAGACGTGCCTACTAGTAAGTACATAGGAACTTACTAGTTGACACAAATAGAGATTTGTGTGTTTCGGACAAACCAGGCTTAGAAGTTTACTATCTGTGGCCTGAAGCTGATTCATGAGCTCTCTGCCGCATATCGCCACAGTGTGGAGGCATACGTGAGTACCAGCCTGATAATGCTCTTGATAAGGAGAAGTTTGTTCCTCACGCTCGTCTGACTTCTTCAGTTCAGAAGTGGGTACAGATGGCTGGTCGTGGCACGAGCCTTGTTGATGGCTGTCATCAGGTGCTTCCTCCAGGCCAGCTATGTACTTTCAACAACACCCAAATATCTGACTTCAATCCCCCACTGAACATTTTCTCCCTCTAGATCGATGTTCCCATCAACTCAGTCACGTTTCCTTCCAATAGGAATCGCCCGACTCTTTGCTACATTAATATTCACTTTCCACTTGAAAAACCACCTGTCTCCACAAGATAATCATCTATAAATATTTAGAGTAAATCTATTAACGCAATACTTTTTCTCTAAATTCTCGAAATAATAGTTACATAAATCTTTAAAGATCTCTAATGTGTTTGTCTGTCAGTTTGTTTCTATCATCGGCGTTGTTAATTCGCTAGCAAATTGGAACCGGAACATTTCCCCAACAAACGCGCGTCAGAAGATTTAAGATAAATCTTTAACAAACATCAGCTGCTCCTTTGATAAAAGAAGCCTAAAATCTGAACCCAACAGAGGTGAAAAAATAGAACAACACGTACATTCAATCACAGAATGGGACTAGAATAGACCACATACAACGACAGTTAACGTTAGCTTTAGAAAAACCTTCACCCTATACAAAGAACCCATTTTAGAAACATAATTTGAGTAAAATTTTACTACTGATCTGCTGATATTAACTGATCAAACGCGAAACAGGACAACGCAGCCTACTCATGTATGTAAGATGACAAATTTCAAATAAAATTAAACAAACGCGACAGAAATATTAAAATGCTGGTGGTACATCAGTAAAACCAAGAAAAATGGTTTGGGACATAAGGAAAAACTAAATAAAACAAAGAAAAATTTGAAAAACAAAAAATCTCACGGTCGAAGCAATAACATGTACAGAACGATATAGAGACATATATTAAGACATACATAGAGTAAGCGCTTTCCGAACATTCATTCAAATTCTTAAGGACAAACATCAAAATATTTCCCGCATTTCGTAATACCCTATTTAATAAATATTTAGTTATCATCATCAATCAAAGTAAAATTCTTAAACCATTGTAAGTAATCCTACAGTATCCCATGGCATCATTTCGAACACGTGTAATAACGTTATCCCAGAATTCTGATTTCGCTTATTTGACTAATCAATCAAAGATGATTTTTTTTTATCTTTGGCCACTTAACTAAAGCTTTTAAACATAATCTTTAATGTATTTAAAAAGTTACATCTTTGGTGGTTATTTTAGAAGAAAAGCTGATTTCCGTGTGATTATACTATCGGCGCTGCCAACAAACCTTGTCAAAGCAGAAACATTAAATTACATATATAATTTAATCTTCTTTACTTTATAAAAATGTCGAGATTTTATCTGCAGATTTATTTATTGAAATTTTCGGCGAGTTCTTGTACTTAGATTAGATGCTAAGAGGTACCTACTTAAAAATTTTCTGTATTCTGCAATACTAATCCTTTAATCCTATAACAAAGAAAAATTAAATGATTATTCATTTTTATAATCATTTCACGTACCGCAACTTAAAATAAGCATGAATTAGTACCATTGATTGTGTGGTTTAGTGAAAATCAAGTTCGAAATTTGAATACAAGAAAAGTAATGGTTTTGACTATAACGGGTAATTAATTATGTATTATTAATACAAATACATTACATATTTACACCGGGCAACAAGTAAGTTTGGTATGAAATTGTGTGATTTTCAATTAGTATGATTTAATGGACATTAAGAGGGCCACCCACAATTAAATAGATTCTCAGGTACTGAATATCCCCAATGACTTTGACTAATTTTCTATATTGGTGGATCGATTTATAATTACAGCTATGTTTTCTATTTAATAGAAATATCATTTTTCAAAATAATTTTTTTCAGTATCCAAGTGAAAAAAATCCGAGCTTATATCTGTAGCTAAACGAGAAAATGCGTTTTCATATTTTGATTCATCACATAAAGATCTTGTTTGTCACAAACTGAGTGATTTTTGTGAGCGTCAATTCTATAAATCAGCTTTAGTTCTCGTCCTATGTATAACGTTTAACAAAGCCACACATTTCAGTACTTTAATAACGTTTTAATTTAAGTATGCCTCTACAAGCCGATTTTAAGCCCATTTAGAAATTCTGGCGTCAAAATTTTGTGTGCAGAATAGTGCACATAAAGAAGATAAACGTCTTGCACAGAATGCCATAAATTGGTAATAAATTGTATATACCTTTTTCCATACAATCAAAGACAGTTGAAAACTTGAACAATTTCGCGGATTTTTTGAGTACATTTATAATTATTCAATAATATACCAAATAAGTAGGCTGCCTACTTATTGAACAATGCGCAAGGCAAAAAACTTTTTCCATATGCTTCACAAAATTTTATAAGATATTCCAATATTCCAGCTCTTGCAGTTGAAAATATTTTATGTAGATTACTTAAAAATAAATAACATTTACTTAAATATTGAATATACATTCATTGAATTTTATTTTAGCTATTGACATCTGGGCGGACATAATCTTATTTGTTCAAACCCTGAATACGGTTGAGCCAATTGGTCAATACACCTTATGGGAATCAAGGACGTTCGATTTTAGCAACACTTCTAATATGGAGTAAGTATAATAAGTAAATAAGGACTTTGGTACAAATTATGTCATTATGCATTAATTACAACTACGCACACGATGTTTGTTTTAGTATCATACATATAGTTTTATACTCATACATCACTGGACTTGTACATTTTTGATATGATATTTTGCGTTGTTCCATTTTACAAATCAAAGACTATTAAAGTATGAAACAAATAGACAATCATCGAACATGAAAATTGAACAAACACAAATATATGTAACTTAAACTGAAGCCAATGGGGTAGTCGTAGGATATCTTCACATAGATAGCCCATGATCAAATACTCAAAAGACATTCTTGAAGTCTGAATCTCATTTTTCTTCTATTGCCTGCAACATCTTAAAGTTTTGATTTTTTCGTCGTCGTCGTTTAAAATGTATTTTTAACGACATCTGAAGATGTAAGCCAAATACAGGACGGCCAAAATTACATCTTAAAATAAGACACGGAAAATAAACTGCTACAGACAGTACCTACTCGGAGTAGTCTTATTGGTGAAAAACTCACAAATCTAGCAGGATTTATAGTGGAAAACATTCATAAAGGACAAAGGAGCCGTTGCAACAGTGAACGAATATCCTAAGGAGGAGCTACTAGAATTAATCAAGCGCGACTCAGCAAAGGCAATGGACCAAGCCGCAAAAGACCACACAACCAATTAGGATGAAAACATCAGCCATCAAACATGCACAAACAAGAATATCCCAGAAGACCCAGCAAGCTGTGACCTGTGACAACAAGGGACCCTGGGGACCCCCAAAAAGCCATAAAAAACATGTGGAGTTTGTGTAGTGAGCAGAATTCCCATAGAACTCACATATTATGTAGTATTACAACTAGCTCTGAAGTTATGTCCTTAGTTATCGTTCATTGTATCGTCAAATGAACGATAACAAAGGAGGTTCTAGCAGATCTTAATTAGGGATTATTTATTATTGCGCATTTGTTAAACAGGATAAAAGGATAATCTGGCACTGTGAGCTGTGAGTTTGTAGCTTTAGTTGCTCATGCCACAAGGAAACTGCAAACGATTGATCGTGAATATTAGTTGTAAAACGCCAAATCTTATTTAAGTGAGTAGCGATTCAAGGTTTATGTTAAAATAATTCAAGTAATTGTAAATTGCTAGTACTACTTACTAGTACCTTACTAGGCGTAGCTGGTAAGCAGTTGTGGAAGCAATGGCTTAACAATTACGTAATAAAGTTCTATAAACAGCACCAATTCGAAACCCCGAAATCATCGATTGATGAAGATAAAAATGTCATTCTATCTTTTTATTTCAGAGGGTCACTGATAATAGAAAATGCTCAAATTTCAGTTGAAATGGAATACAACCTATCGGACTTTTCTAGCGTAACAGAAGATGATGACGGAAACTTTAAAGCTTGCATCAGCAACGTGAATTTTCCAAAGTTTAATTTTTCATTCGACTATATAGCTGATTTTGGAATTAACAACAAATTTCCAATTTACGGCAATGGCTCTTATCAGTAAGTAGTTTTCAATGTTGATGGTATTCGATAATAACATGTAAATAAAAGTTCCAGTCGACCACTCTACATGCGATATTGCAGTTGATTAGATATTGTTAAGTTATGTTTTTTTTACATTTTTATTGTCCGTGTCTTTCATTTTTAATGCTCAGTAAGGTACCGTTCTCGTTTCTGTTTGAAACTTCAATGCCACAACTTCTGCACTAGGTATTTTCTATATTTTGAACTCTAAGCCGTCGATCAAACCAATTAGTACATTTTCAGCTTTGAGTCGCCTTAAACTGATAAATCAAGCTCGATTTTCTGAGATGATCACATACTTATGAGGTATGAGTGTATTTCAACCTTTCCAAAATTGCCATTAAGGCTTAAAGGTCCACACTGCAGACACAAGAGCATATCAACCAATCAAATACATTGTTTTAAACTTTGCGATTTAACATACCGGAATTATAAGAACTGGTCAATAAGCACTTAAATATGCTGTTTATAGAAGCAACTGATATCGACTATTGTGACAAAAACAGATATAATTTAATTTCTTTTTTTTTTATTCATATTTTTCATATATATAAATAATCTTTATTTCCTATAGAAAAAGGCAAATTATTATATTATTATCCAAGCATATTTTTCATTTTTAGTATAATAACAATAAGCAATATTTATTTCTTGCCTAAATGACTCTCGACCTGTCGTTCTTCTTACCTTTGAAATTGTGTGTTTATTTTTCTTTTAACTCAATTTTATAAAACTGATTTGTTATAGAGGGAGACTAATCGATATTGCTACTACATTTTGTTGGCTTCTAGCGTCATCGGCAGATGAAATTTTAGATTTTAATATTGATGTGATATTTTGGCACCACCAGGTGAGTATCCTTGCTAATAAATGTATCGTGGTGCGGATCCCACAAAGAATCTTTGTTGGCATTACAGAAATTGACTAAATGTAGAAAACCACACTATTCAACAGTAGCTTATGCAACACGAGTTCTTATAGAAACTTGGTGAAAACTATGTTTTCACTCACTTATTCTGATTCTGATATTTGGGCACGATTACAGTTCAACGCGGTCTGGTATTATTACCCATAAATACATAATTGTAGCCTCTATAAAAGAGATAACATAATGCAAAATCTTTTGATTAAAGAGATTAATGTTTTTCTTCGGATTACTACAAGGTCAGTACGGGCCTCCAAAGAAATGGCACCCCAAATAATTTTTGATCCACTACTGAATTCCAGTTGGAAAACTGTACATATTTGACTGTATTTTCTATTGGTCTGCTGCAGATAAAAGCATAGCGACTGGAAGATTTTCAGCTCACTCTGAAGTCTTAACTAAGCAAGGCAAGTTCTACTAACTTCCAGTTCTTTAGTTAAAAATAGAGCCTAGTTTTCCTGTGCCCTGTGATTAAGAGGACCTTTTCGGACTGTGGCAAATACGCTTTCACCAACATAAAAACAGAGCTGAAGTTGAAAAAAAACAGGAAAATTTAAATAGAAAAAATGCGAACTTGAAATAGGGCTTTCGGCTGTGTTACAAGGAAGCACCCCTAAGACCGGTTTTAGTCCTATTAACCCTAGTCAGTTAGGTGTGTTTTATTTTTTCTTCAAAATATATTTATTGTGTGTTTGGCCTAATAAATTTCCACATGTTTTTTATTACGGATATTGACCAGAGTATCTTTATTTTACAACAAAAAACGAATTCTATTTCAGAAACTAAAGGAGAACCATCACTTCAAGCTGTAAAACAACATTCTAATTAGTAAAGAAACTAATATAGAAAAGTTACCTTAAAGTTATTTTCTGTGATAATTTTTAATATAAACAGAATTCTTGGGTTTCGGTCATTTATTTTGACATCCCAAATTATTAATTTTCCTTAAAATATGTTTCGGTGTTTTTCCACCTTCAGTTTGTCTAAAATCTTAACAAAAATTAATCAATTGTGATTGATGATTGAAATAAATGACTGAAAGCCAGGAATATTGTTTATATTAAAATTGAAAATACACTAAGAGGAAAAGTTAGATCCGTGATCTTTATCAGAAGATCTGAATATAAATCTGTAAAAGTTCGTTTTGGGTTTTCGTTTTTTTAAGAAACTGTCAAATTGTTTTCTCTGCCTCAAATATCATTGTTTGATTTAATTTAATTTAACCTAAATTGAATTCTTATTTATTTCGTTCGTTTTAACGGAGTAATCAATCAACGAAACTTTTCCAATGATATTTGGCAATAAATACAACCGGAAAATTTTTTATATTTTATTTTCGCATAGATTTACGCGAGTAAAATAGGTGGCAAACATTAAATATTTGGATGAAATAATAATGGAATATTCCTTCCCACCAAATGCCCAGCTTTTAGATTATTCATTTGACAGCTAAACTCAGCTTACCAGCGCTAACAGTTCCAAAACCTGAACTGGAACCTGTTCCTTATTTTGCGCATTTATAATTGAGCAAATCCGCCAACGAAACATTTTCAAGTACCACACGCAAAGCTTTATTTCGAATGCGAAATTACCTTCAATTACAAAAACAACTTAGAGTCTCCATATTCTAATATAGATTTGAACTAAGATCTGTTCTTCAATACAAGGGCGGTTTAGTCATTAGCCTTTATATTTCAAGATTCAGTAAATACTGAAAAGTACGAAATATTAAAATAAAAAATTGTTATCAATAATATCTCCTCTTAGTAACAAAACCCTAGGGTTTGCTCCCAACAATCTGCGAACAGCTGCCCTATAACAATCCTTTTATTGAAACCGCTCTTCTTCATATAGCCATTCTTACCTTAAATTGTATATGTATGTATGTTTACTACTGTATTATAAAGCGATTCATTATTTTTGAACAAACATAGTCGGTCTGTTTTTGTCCTGAACTTTTCGGTCAAATAGTTGCTAATAAAAAAATGTATTAAACAACTAGGTAGTCGCATTTTTTTTATTTAAACAGTAGCTTCTACTACTGCAATTCAAATCAATCTCGATGGAAGAGTTCGTGGTTGCAGCATGTCTGATTTAGTAGTCCATGGTTCTGTTATATGGTTCAACGCATAACTTAATGCTAAACAAGCTCTAAAATTGGTGTTTAACTCACAAAAATAATTCTTACAACTACATGCATTCTAATTCCAAATAGAACAAAAACTCATTTATTGGGTTTGTCATAAATATTCCTTTTAAGTAATTCCAAAGAAACTCATTAAAATAAGCTGTGAGAAAGCAACTAGCGAAATTCCAACAGCTAATTATCAAAAGTTAGTCGTATGCCCAGTTAATAACATTTTGATTATTTTAAGGCTTCTCTTACGGGATTCTACAGGAATCCAGAATTAAGTTCTTTGCTGGGAGACTCCATAACAGATGGAAAAAAGTTATTTGCTATGTGGAATAACTACGACACCAAATGTAGCAGCCAATGTATTCTGAACCCAGTATTTCATTTTTTCATAAATTACTTGATGTATGGTATTGAAGATCGTTTCGAACTGAACTGGGCGGATTGCACTTGTCTAATTGTGAGTATAAAGCTTATCAGAGCCAAATAATGTTATAAGTTTGAAGCGTTTAAAACATGCATTTAAACATGAATTTAAAGAGTACAAGAAGAACTCAAAAGTTTTCGACCTAGGCATATAATAAACCATTCTTTTGAAGCATTATGTACTGCAACGTACTGGTATTGGATAGAAGGAGGGCTATGTTCGTGAAGATGTCCAGCTTATTGTGTTCTCCCGAAACAGCGCTTTCTTTTGTATGAATGATAGTAGCTTTTAAGGCCTGACGCAAATCCAATTATGAAGTGCAATGAAGACAACCAACGGAGTCTGCAATTGACAAACATATCATACTTACACACCCAATGTTCTGTGATCTAATCAACGTGACCAGCATTCGGGTTAATCATCGATCTTCTTATGCATATGATAGGTGACCAGCCAGGGTCCGGTGAGAACACAATTAAAGGCTCTTTCTTAGCTGATTTCTGCTTATATTAAAAATCTGCCAGTTGCCGATGCCATTGAAGGACCGAGTATGACGATCGCTTCGGAACTGGCTTTTCTCGCCGTTTTTCATAAAATTTCGTTTAAATATGAATTCTTAATTCGCTTTAAAATCCTCGTAAACAGGTACCCATATTATGGCAACTCTATTCCTCTTCCTAAGGTCTCAAAAGTGTTTCTGCAAGCAAAAATCAATGGCAAGTTGTTGGAGAGTACGATGAACATATTGAAAACAATATTTTCGAAAATTTTTAGAAGACATTAATAGTAGAAAGTTGAATTTCAACTTTGCTATTAAGTATTATTTTGAAATAGTTCCATGTATTATTGGCAGCCTATTTGAATATTTAAGAATTACGATCTTCACTTCAAACTAATTTTTTTAAATTAAAAAAGTACTCTTCTGCAAGTTTTGTTGAAAATTTAAAGCGGCAATGATATTTTTTTCTCATTATCAGATAGTTACAGGTAGATAGCCTTTGTTGGTTCCGTAGGTATTCAAGTATCCCTACCATGTATGTAAGATTCACCAGACACAAGAACACATTAAATCTCCATGAGCAGGAGTTAGTTCACGGAATACGAGAAACTGCTCAAAATGTGAATCCAGTAATGCTGCGAACAGTGTAAAATAAAGTGATTACACGGGCATAAACATGTTTCTTATGAGAACTTCGAACATTTTTACACTCACATTTGAAAACATTTATTTTCAAACCCTCAGATTCATACCTACGAATGTTTTATTTAGTATTTTTTTACTGTTTTTCCTGTACGCCCTAAACACCCCCAGACAACACCCCCCGAGAAATTACACCAATTCTGAATCACCCTATATAGTAAAGATATTTGTTAATTGCAGGATTTCGTTAAATCGAGCCTTCCCGATAAATCATCGCCTAGGAAGTACGGACA